GCAGGAATCTGCTGCAGAACCATCTGGAGATGTCTCTCCATGCAACAGATAGCTGCGTGACATGTAGAATTCCTTGCAAAACGATGATGTGGATGCAACACACTTACATGAGTTCAGGGGGAGACTGGACAAATATGGGGAAAAGAAATCCATTGAACATTACCTGAAACATAAATCACAAAAGGTTCAGGAAATCCCTTGAGCTTAAAGCAGCTGGAGACTGGGAGATAATTTGTGTGAAGTATCACATATACTTGCCTTGTTCTTGCTCTTCACCCTGAGCAGCTGCTCATAGTCACAGGGTACTGAACTAGGTAGACCTGTGGCCTAAACTTCTGTACTTATGATGATGGAATTTGATACCAGGAATAAAAAGATACTAAGACCTGGATAATAATAAGCCTTGTTCTATGTCTTCCTTAGCATGACTTTTCCAAGCACAGTCTAAAATCCTTACTAAATACTCATGGCAGGCTTGTTCTAATTTTAACAATGCCAACAGAAACATGAAACCAAAACAACTGCTTTGAAGAGAATTACATTGATTAACTCTTTAGAAAAGAAATATGTGTAATGGTTATGTATGTCCTGTGTTCAGCCGTGGTGACTGGAAACTCGGTAATGTGTAATAGTTGTTCTTCACTACATAAGGATGAGACCATACCACCACAATGATTTCAAAAGGACAAAAATAAAGCCTTCCACCATTGTAAATTAGCGTTCCCTAGGTTGAGCATAACTGCTGACGTCTTTTTTCCATCAATAAACAGAATTCAGAACTAACAAAAAAGCTGACCTCTAGCTACTTCTATTAGTGGAGGATTGTAGTGTGCAGTGCAGCACGTGGTTGACATGAGTATTTGTTTGAAAAAAGAGCATTTCCCACTGAGGGCCACCTCACAGCTCTGGCATAAAAAGAACAGATTGTTAGGAATGCCATGGCTTGACTCCATCTTTGGTTAGCTTAACACACTAAAGACACTGAGAATGGTAATAGTCTAATTTTGCAAAGAGTGAAGGACTTCCGACAGCAGCTGGATTTGTACCACGGAGAAGGTTCAGTGCTATCTGCAGTTTTTCTTCCCTGTCCTTCCCCACTGCGAGACCTACTGGTATAGCCCACAGCTCCCTCTTTGCCTGCATGCTCTGGATCCAGGCAGTGGTGCCTGGTCCTGTCTCCTCCTGAAGCAGAGGAGGGTCATGGCTCCAGTGGGGAGCATTCGAAGACAGCTCTGTGACATGCCCAGAGGGGCAACCCTGACCCAGCTGCTGAAGTCAAAGGGAGAAGTGAGAGACCAGTGTTAATGGTAAAGTTTCTCCGGATTCGCTTAGCACATTTCAGCTATTCATCTACCATCTATAAATCTACAGTGGTACTGCAAAGAGATGTACTTTCAAGGAGAAAACAGCACAAAAGAGGTCATAACTGGCACATCTTATTTCACAGGGACTGACAGATCTGGGAATGAAGTTGAGAATTTACTAGACTGCAAAAGTGCAGCGCATGTTGGCACACCACATGAAAAACTTTCCATCTCCCTCTAAGTTTCTATTTTTTTTAACTGCACTTTAACTTCAATTTTGTAACCAAACCTATCTTTAAAGAAGAATCTGTACAATCAGGACCTACTGATATTGAAAAGCTGATATTGTGTCTGGGCACAATCCTGGGCAATGTGGTCTAGGCGACCCTGCTTGAGCAGGGAGGTTAGATTAGATGATCTGCAGAGGTCCCTTCCAACCTCAGCCGTTCTGTGATTCTGTGATACTGGCTGCAAGTATTTCTACACGGTATATAGCCCCACGAAGGTCCCAGAGAAATAGATGATAAATAATGCTTTCAGATCAAATTGCTGGATTAAACATATTGTAGAATGCAGGGATTTATATAAAAGCAGCCTTATGTAAATAAGTGAGAACTTGATTACTGAAGACTGTTTTATGCCTATAATAAAAGTGCCTGCAAGCAGTTACAGTAGAATGTTTTATTTGTAATTATTTTTGATTATTGAATCATCATGGACAATGTGAGCCTTGACATAGACTAAGGAGAAAAAGGGAGCCAGACCAATTCTGAAAATTGATTATTTGGGAATTCAATATGGGCAGAAAGAGTTTCCAGATTTTTTTTAAGATAATAAAATTATAGTGTCTCTGCAGCCTCAGAATCTTTTTAGTAGGCCAGACATTTTAAAATTCATTCCCAAGGTTTACATGAAAGATGCACAGCCACTCGGACAAAGGAGAAACTTGCTTTTTCAAACTCATCATTTCACAAAACAGAAAAATGAAGTTTTCTATGTGTTAAAGCAGAATACACCTTCTCTAAGAGCATGTGATTAAGGAAAGAATATTTACTTCTTCCACTTTTACTCAGAATCTACTACAACATGCTTTTACTTTATACTTTCTTGTCCAAAATTCTCAGTGATACGGTCTCTGTACCTCTATAGTGCTCAGCAGTGTAAGCAGTTCCTGAAATCTTCTTTAAGTTCATCTACCTACCTGAATGGATGAAGGCCTTGCTGTAAATGAGAATTAGAACCTTTTGTTGCCTGAGTTGCTGGCAACGTGATAAACCAATGATGTTCTTCATTGTGCCATTTCCTTCCTAAAATGTATACTGCTTGTTTGCCTGGGTATTCCAATTAATCTATTTCAAGAATTTAAAATTATGCTTGTCCATAATATGCATTTTGTTATATTTAATCAGCGCAATACTATCATACTATAGTCTGCATAGTACTGCGGACTACATGGACAGTACAGTATATAGATCATACTATGCTTGATTCAGAAAAGGTCAGACAGTACCAGGGATGTCAAAAAAGGGAAGACCTTCCATTTATAAAGCATTTGGTATAAAGTACTAATACTTTAATGGGCATCAGACTTAAAAGTAGAAACAGATAAACTGCATTACTAAATTCCTTCTCTGCTTCTTCTGAGTATCTTGCTCCAGTATCTATCCAGTATCTTCTGAGTATCTAGCATTGTTTTCCATTCACAGTCCAAAGCTTCAAAACAATGCTTCAAAACAAATTTTTAAAATAGATATTCAACCTTTGCCTCGATTTATTAAAATATCATAATCAAATGGCAAAAAGCAAGATGGCAGTCAGAATAAAGTGATTTTTTAAGACCAGTATCTTTCAACTTGCCAGAGTTAGAAACACTCTGGGAATAAATACAAACACTTTCCAGATTTGCAGACTTCTGAAACAATGAGTGAAAACAAGTGTTTGATCCATAATATCGCTGCCACTTTATTTCACACTTTGTTAATTTTCCAAAGATTTTTCAAAACAGGATGCCTAAGCTTTCTTTTAACTTCAGACTATTGTTCCTTTCCCAGAAAAAAATAAAATCTACGAAGCTAAAGTGTACTGACTTCTGTCCGGTATTTAGATCAACCATTTAAGTATTTCTTTTTTCATTACCAATACGTCTGTTGCCATTACCCTTCATGCTGATTCTCAGTCTGTTAACACAGACAACCTTCACAAGCTCTCTACTGCTATCTCTGAAATGTTAAGATCTACTTTTCCGTAATGCTTTTAGGTTCTTCTCCTTGGATGTTCATGTTACAATTAATCTCTTCCTCTCTGCCAGTCTTTGCAGTATTTCAATAAACCTCAGGTTAAAAACCTTCAGCCTTAGCAGTTCCCCATTATTAAAATGGAGACAATACGGTAGCCAGAATTGTCATAACTGGCTTCTAAAAATAAGCAACTCAATCCCTGTTCTAGTAACTAGCTTTTTTAAAAATGATCAGTATGCAGAAACTCTCACCGACTTCACTGGAGCCCCATTTTGCACGGGTAAACAGATTGTGGGAAGCCACAAAATGAGCAGAGCAGAGCAGAGCAGAGCAAGAGACAGAGTGACAGAGGAAACAGCAGAAAGGAATAGAGAGGGTAAGTGTGGAAAAGTTTATATTTGCTGCAGCATCTTATTCTCTTGAACATTGATTAAATCCAGAAATCCCAAGATTCTAATTTTCTATAATGTTAGGCATATTGCGTGGCAGCAGTTGAAACCTACTGAGAAAACGTGCTTTTGCACTATCATCTCTGCGGAGCATCAGACTTAAGTGCTGCCAATCAAGAGGCAAGAGCCAGGAGGGCGCCCTCCTTCCACCACGCAGCCTGTCTGGCCTGGGCAATGTGCTCCTCTCCTCTGGCTGAGCTCCCCCAGGAAGCGCATGGCCTGTGCAGGCATTTGGAGGCTGCAGCCTGACCTGTGGTGTCCCCTGGGAGGAGAGGAGCCACAGCCCATGCTGATGGACTGACTGCCTCCCCTCCTGCTCAGCCCCTGCAGGTGGCAGGAGCCACCGCTTTGCAGATGACCAGGTTGTCCCCTGAGTGAAACAAGGGCTTTGGGCTCCAGCTGTGCTCCTAATAGTCACAGCAAGTGGCAGCCTGCTCCATGCTGTCTTCTTCCGCAGGAGCCAGGCTCTCTTGGAAAACCGCTGAGCCATCGTGCTTTACCTCTGCGTGAGGCAGTGGCTCCTGCTGCATTGCTGCCACCTCTCAGAAAACATCCATTCACCCAAAATGTCACAGTCTACTGCTGCTCAGTAGGAAAAAAAGCACTGGAATAGCATTCGGCCCACATGCTGCCTCACCTGAAGCAGTGGCCAGAGCTATGAGAACACTAAAAGGTCAAAGTGAAGCTCAAGGACACAGAGTGAAACATCCATCTTCCACACGTGTGTATGCACATGCACGTGGACATATCAGAAATTGCAGGATCTGCTGCTCAGCCAGATGGTGATAGAAATGGGTTGTCAAGCATGTGGCTATCTGCCGTCTGCAAGACTGCTAATGCTGTGACTGCTGCACAGAAGATCAAAAGCAGTATGTAGCAGACCTTCAACAGTACCACCGCCAGCACTGGAGAAACTCCATGTGGGTGCTGCAAAAGAAGGGGGAGAAACCTCTCTTGCACTTCTTGCTCTTTCCACATCTCAGGACAAGTTATTTCCTAATTTAGCTTTTTGCTCCTAACCTTACCTCTCCAATCTGAAATAATGTTACAAGCATAAACAGTTAGTTGCAAGAGATCACAGCAAACTGCTCTTCACAAGTCTCAATACTGAACCCATCTATGCTACTCCCTAAAAGAAAAGTCATTTATGAGTTGCCAAAAATTTCCATGCATGACAAAGTCAGTCAAATATGTATTTAAATAGGACCAGTCAGTTCTCTCCTTATCATACAGTTTACAGAATTCAAGGACTCTATTCCTTCTCCTAAGGCCATTTTTTCACAGCTCCTTTTAGCTTCCAAAACAATGTATGTCCATCGAAGAGCACTGACACAGCAAAGCACGTCCAGCAATCACATAAGATGTTGATAACAGAAGAATTATCCTAATGACTGGTTGTGTGGCAAGTGCATAGTAAGTCACTTGTTCCTTCAAAAATAGATCATTATTCCAATAGGAAATCATTTTTATTCTGCACTAGCATGCTTACACAAGGGAATTAATTTATTCCAACACTATCAGGCAAACATCGCTCTCCTCTTGTGATGCATCTGAACTCTGCATTTTCAAAAGTCCTTCTCATCTCTAGTTTTTCAGATGTGTTCAGGACACCCCATGCATCTTATTGTTAGCTTTGTAAAATATCACACTAGACCTGGATCAAAACTAGAGTGGCTATATGTTGTGCTACCACAGTCACAGGGCTTGGGCTGCTAGAATTAGCAAATGTAAAGTCATGGAGTGTACCTAGATCATACTGCAGTCTCAGGGATGGAGTGCATTTGCTTTGGATGTGGCAACAGATGAACACAGAATTTGAAAATTTTAAGAATATTTAAAAATAGGAATATGTGAACGAGTAGAGGATAGCAGTAATGAAAGAGTATAGATAGGTAGTACATTTGAGGGTGAAAACAAACAAAAAACCCAACACAGGTACGAAGGAAAAAGGAACGAAGAAGAGTATAAAATGTGTATTTTGGACTTATTCCCTTTTGTCACCTCAGTTTGTCCCTTTCCTTTAGAAACTAATTCTTCCCTTCTTCACCTAAAGCACAGCAGAGTATTAAGAGAGCTGGGGGAAAAACCCTTTAACCTTTTCCACAGAACTAGATAAGATCTTTGAATCAAAAACAATACAGTACTATTATCTTGATATCGTTCACTTGATATGACTATTCTTATTTTTCCGTGTAAAAACTAAAGATCAAATTATCAATGAAAATTATGCACCAGGCATCATAATCCCTGACTTTGCCAAATGCAATGAATTTTTGATAAAAATCCTGAACAAAGGTAGGGATAGCATATATGATACGATCTCCATGATCTACTACATCCTCTCAGTTTATCATATTTAAATAGAATCATTAATGAAGGGTGAAAACACATCAGTAACAGAGCAGATAATGCATTTAGGGTAACAAAGGAGAATGCCTATTAAAGTGTTCCCTGTAAACCAAATGAGACAGCAAAGGAACGCAAACTAAGAAATGAAGAATACACAATGAACTCTATTCCCTTTTTCTACCCACCTCAGATTTACAGCTAAGTTACACAGAGTTAAAAAGATACCTGTCTTCTCTGTTCTCTATATTACCATATGCAGGAGTTGTCTTATACCCTTTGTAAATGCTGCTGGTTTACTTTCTCTCTCAAAAAATTAAATACAAGCTAGTATCATGCTTTGGATTCCAATGGTTTGCCTGTGCTCCTCCTTGCTGTTTTCTCTAGCAGTGCTCCAGATTTACTGCACTAGGGAAAGGAATGCAAAACGCATGTGTAATGATGAGGATAACTATCAGTGAAGATAAATTGGGAGAAATGATCACCACCTTACAAGCCAGAGCACAAATAACAAATGCACAGATCAAATGTACACTCATACCTAATCTGTTGGACGGGTTCCTTTTGAAGAGGGCTCGCAGCAGACTCTGGGCTTCTATGCTCAAGAACTGTGGCATTCCCAGCTTGGCTCTGAAAGAACACAACACTTGAAAAGAAAATAGATTTTTCAAAATTTTTCTCCATCACACTGTGGTTTAGAAAGTGTCACTGTAGTAATTGGGACAGGCAGACACACACATCTGGTCACCAAAGGCATGACTATGTAAATATACTACAAACTGAGGGCCTGATCTTGTTCTGTTAAAGAAAGTTTTACCTCTGGTTTCACTGGAGGTAGATCTAATGCATCTCACGAGACCTTGTGAATAGGTTGCAAAAGATTTACTCAAAGGGGTCATTTTCCTATGCAAACTTTTTCAGCTTTTTAGTTTGCTGGAAAAAAATTTGGGAATCAAGAGAAATTTAAACACATAAACAAGACTTTGAAAATAATGATAATAAACCACACATCAGTTAAGAACGAAACTCTTCCCTTGGTGATTCTCTATCACGGAGAAAAAATGTGATTTTAAGCAAGGATTAGCCCCAAATCCTGAAACATTTATGCATGTTCCGAACATTAAATGAATGGGAAATTTGGAAAAGAAGGGTTTTGAAACTCTGGAAACAACAAAAGATAAGCTGTCCTGCACAAATTTGACTGTTCTCACTTGTGTGTATATAATGACAGTCTGTTATTAGGGACACGAAGATACCTTTCTTCTGCAAGGCCCTCTCAGTATTTCACTTCCTACTATTTATTCTGAAGGCCAGTTTAGATCCACATGCAGGAGACCAGCTGTGCATGCCCTTCCCAAATTCATGCCTTACACCGCTTTGAAAAACTCACTGTGCACATTACTATTTTCTATCCTTCATATATCTAGGACCCATAGCCTACCCCAAGGGTACAGTTAACTAACAGTTAGAAAAACAAAACAGATTTCACTACTCACTTGAGAATGAGAGCCATCGTCTCCTTTCTATCTTTTCCCTGGAACGGTAATGATCCTGTCAGCATCTCAAACTGTGAAATAACAACAAAATGGTAAATCGACTAAGTGTTGAGATAGTCTGCACAGCTGACCAGACACTCCACACATCATCTTTTTATTTCAAATGCAACTGAACACTTCAGCAATAGAAATTGCCCCAAAAGCTGTAGTTTAGAAAAAAATGATAGTGCAACTCTGTATTTTGCAGAACATCAAAGACCAACATGACAGTTTAGTTCGAGAGTCTTGTTACAAACTGTTTACGTTGATACTTGGGAACAAGTTTTAGTCTGTTTGGGGAGAAGTATCATATATGGTTGCCTCGTTCTTACTCTTTCTCCAGAGTCTGCTTTACGGCCAACGCAGGAGACAGGGTACTTGGCCAGATGGACCTTTAGTCTAAACCGGTATGCTTGTCCTTTGGTGTTTCAGCTGTGGTGCAAGGAAAATGACCATGCCGTTCTCCCTCTTTTTAGTCCGGGTCCAACTGCCTTTAGTCGTTGTATATTTGTACCACACAGAGATGCCACTGCTACACTTCGCAGAAGGAACGTGCATAACCCCCACGTTCTCCAGGCACTTGAACATGCTTTTTTATCTCCCATTTCAGCTCTCCTGGCTGTACTCACACTGAATTTTTCAGGTGTCAGGTTTAAGTGCACCTAAACGTCAAAGCAAAACTCGCAATCATTATCAATTATTTGCCTAACTCACATCTGAAAATATCAATCATTTATGGCTTCTTTGAAACAGAGCAATGCTTTCAGTGAATCTGACAGGAATTTCACATTTGTAATAAAAAAACTCAGCCAAGGAAGCTTGCCTCGTATGGATTCAATACCTGGGCTTTCACACAGCTCTAACCACAACATTTCATGCACGTATCAGCGGATGCTGATTCCTCTGACTAAGGGATGATGAAGGTTATATATCAGCAAACAAAATCAAACCAAGAACACAATTCAGTCCTGGCATAAAGGAGGACAATGTCCACTGAGAGTAAAGGGAATTGTTATTTGCTTTTTTCTGAGTCAGACTTGGAAAAAAAAAAATGGGGATCCTTTCTACTATAGGAGGTACCTCCTGATCAATATCCATTGCTACAATACCTTTAAGGCAGGACAGACTCTCATCCTTATGTATTTTTGGTACCTTATCACTGCTCTCAGGAAGCACGTCTGTGCAAAAACAATCCTTTCAGTAATACAATTTGTGACAAACTGACCCACAGCTCAGCTCTTCCCTTTTCCCAGTTTAAATATAGCCATACTAATCCTAAGCACTTCATAGATCAACCCAACATCCCTTTCTACTCACATTTTTGTTTAATCTATACATCTTTAAAAGTATTTTAGAAAGTTAGGGATACAATCATTACCACAAAATGGGGAAACTGAGAGAGACAAACAGAAGTGAAGGAAAAGAGGGACCACTAAACAAATGACTAACAAGAACAGTAGCTGAACTTGTTTTCTGACTTTTTTCTAGAAGCTGCCTCACTAGCATATCCTTTTATCAGTACTGATAAAAGTGACAAGATTTTAAATAACCTGATCCTAGTTGGCATTATTCACTTAAGAATAATCGCAGCATAGCTAACATCTGATATGCTTTAATTTAAAACAAAAACCAGTATTAGACAATGATTTTAATTTAAACATTTAATGTATTCCTCTAATATTCAATCTTGGAATCTACAGGACACAAAAGAGAAGGCAAACACAGATTCTGAGGAACGGCTGTGCTGTATCTGTTCTGGAGGATATGTGTTTTTTAATGCACAAGAAAACTTCACATCAATTTTTTTTTTCCAAATCTTACACTGAAAGAAAATGCTACTTTTTCAGCTTTGAAGTTTAAGAAAATCAAAACCTAAAATCCCAGTGCTTCCTAGGAGCAATTTACTGTGTGCTATTACTTCAGTGCAAGGGAGGTCAGCTTGAACTTCTACAACAATTTCAGCATACCAAGGAACAGTTTTTTGTGATGATCATTTCTTCCAGAAATTCATACACACAGCAGGCATATAATGGCACACCATAATGGAAGATGAAGAGAAACACTCAAACAAGGTGGATTTCCAATGAAATCACAGCATTTTTTAAAACTAAGACTTTGTGCAAGATGGCCTCTGTTTCGGTCCGTTTCTCCAGGGCGTCACAATATGCAATCTGCAAAGCTAAACTGGGTATTTTTCTCAATGATAAGTTCTGATCTTTTACAAGCATTTCATTAAATGTTAACTAGTTTATAGTCTTTTCTCCTTAGGATTCATTACTAAACCTGCAGTTGCTGAGGCTATTTAAACAATGCTGCTTGAAGTGAAACTCCTTCATCTTTACAGAAATAAAAGTAAGTTAAATTCAAAAGTAATAGTTTAGCAGACACACTGCAACACATCTCCTTTCAAATCCAACGTGCCAAACTAGTCACCTCAGCATGAAGTTTTATAATGCAAACTAAAATAATAAGCCAAGTATCACTTTCGAAACCAAAACAGGATTTATTTGACAGTCTCCTTAAAACAGTAACTCAGAAAGTCACACTAAGGAATCAACTTGCCAAGTTATGGGAGGGCTCGTCTCACTTTGCAAATCAGCAAATGGAATTAATTTCAGAAGGAGCTGCATTAAACTTTTACTTAATACTACTCCTAGATGGGATGAATTATCTCTGATAGGGCTGTCTCTCTCTCTGTGACTAGGTAAGAGCAATCCAGACAACCAGTTTAAGCTATTTAAATACCTAAAATTAGGTGAAATTAATGCCTAATTTTTAGGCATTAATAAATGGAGAAAATATTTAACAATTGTTAAAAGACATAGGCGCTTAAGTCTCATTTCAAAATAACTCTGGCCAGTAAGAGCCTACGTCCTAACAAAAGTGTTCAAATATACCAAAGTGTTCAAATATACTGGAAATATATAGAAAAAGTTTCTTCCTAAGACAGTAAGAAAAAGTGCTTTGTATTTTACTGAACCCTCCTCATAATTTCTAAAGAGCTTACTTTATGTTCAGGTAAAATTCCTAATGTTCATTTATGCTGGTTCATGTTATTCTGCTGTTGTTATAAAACTAACTTAACAGCACTAAAAATGACTGCTACACGTCATTTGTTTCGGCAGCAATATGAGCTCGATGCTACCGATACGGAAGATAGACATAAGCAACTGCTTGGTTAGTGACTATGTGGAAGGAGAACACTGCAGTTTCCATCAAGCAGGACATCGCTGAAACGTCTGTACAGGCATTATGTGTGCAGGAAGCCAAGCAACCTGAAGGCAAGAAATCCAGATGCAGTGTCCAGGAAGGCAAGCAGGCAGGCAGGGAAGGTGAGGAAGCAGGCAGGCAGGCAGGCAGGAAGGAAAAAAGAAATTAAGCTATAGGAGGGATAGGGGAAATGATCATCCTGGAAACTGCATGGAATATTTACTGTGCTGCTGTAATGGCTAGTACTTTGTTACCATGTGTCTCCAATTACAAATTGCAATTTCAGTTTCAGAAGAAATGCACTTAACATCAATATTTAAATCAAAATGAAGGTACAGTGAGTTAAGTGTACCAGAGCTTTTCGCTTCAATGAACTGAATGGAGCAGCAGCTGGAAGAAAGCACTGGTTTCTCTAGCTGCAGTGCTGGTTCTATAATCTGCTAAAGAAGGTTAAAAAATGAAATAAAGAAACTGGGAAAAAACCCAGGAAAATTGAAATAGTTCCTCTCATCTGTCAAAGCTACCACACAACACCCCGCTTGCCTGTTTATTTATCCAAAAATCAAGAAGCTTGGAAATCTAAACATGCCAACAGAAGAGAGCACTTGCTGCTAACGCCCTCTCACACAGATACACAGTTGTGTGGGTCACAGCAGGTTGGCTGAGAGCTCGGCCCAGGTGCGTAGAAACTCTGCAGGCTATGGGTTGTCATTAAAGCAGACCCCACCGTTTTGCTGCGAGACTCATCTTTCATCCCCACCATCTGCATAAACCACCTGTTAGATTGTTCCTTGCCTACCAATTATTCACTCTTAGTATATTCTGGAGGGCCACCTTCTGTTAGCCTGTACTTCAGAAGAACTTTGTCTCCCTGCTACCTTGACTCCCTTTCTCTATCAATATATGTAGCAGGAGAGGAAAACATTCTCTGTTCCTATTCAGCTGCCTATTAACAGAAGCCCAGAGTAAGTTAGGTTGCAAGGGACCTCGAGAGGTCACCTTGTCCAATCCATACTTAGGCCTTAACATAGTCAGTTCTTCCTTTCTCCTGCTTTCAGAGCAATCTTCAATTTCAGCAGCGAAAACAACGGAACTGGAGACCTCACTAAATACACATATGTGGGAAGACCTTGGGAAAGAGGGCCACGTTTCCTGCAGGAA